GGGGGCAAGGAGGGGTCCAGTGGGGGCCCCTGGGCCTGTCTGACCCTCCCCTGCCGGCTGCAGCGACCCATCCCAGAGCGACCCCAGCACCAAGGACTTCTGGCTGAACATGGCAGCGCTGACCGGGCACCTGCAGCGCCAGGCAGAGCAGGCCCCCGCCGCCTCCTACTACAATGTGGCCCTGCTCAAGTACCAGGTGGGTGGCACCAGCCTGGTCCTGGGGCAGGGCAGCCTGCCAGGATGCCCAGGTTCAGCTCTGGGAAGGGAGTTGGGGTCTGCTGGGCTGGAGCAACCGGGAGCCCAGACGCCTGGGCTCCAGCTCCAGCTCAGGGAGGGGGTTTGGCCAGTGTGTGCCCCCACCCCGGTTGCACGCCTGCATTGCAGCCCCTTCCCCCCACACCCTCCCAGTTCTCCAGGCTGGGCCCCAGCGCGGCCCCCCTGCAGCTCTCGGTGCGCTGGGACTGTGCAGCCGCCGCCACCCAGGTGTGCGTGGAGTACGCCTACAACGCCGGCGCCATGGCTGCCCCTGCGCCCCTCGCCAACGTCCAGGTGCTGCTGCCCGTGGAGGAGCCAGTCGCCAACATCCGGCTGCAGCCGGCTGCCAGCTGGTAGGAGGGGGGCGCAGGGCAGGGGCGTCCAGGAGGGGAAGTCAGGAGTGACCCAGAGGCTGGGAAGATTTTGGGGGGCATCTTTGCCAAGAGCAGGGGCTGCTCCTGGCCCCTTTTTCACGATTCTGCCCCACAGCCCTACCTCCTGAGGAAGAGCAGCTAATCAGGGCTGCCCCACTGGGCAGGACCCCCACCCCACAAGCGCAGGCCCCCATGCTGCTCCCCCAGAAGGACCCCAGCAGCTCAGGGCAGGCCCCTGCCCCTGCCTGTGAGCAGCCAGTGGGGGGCTTCTTGCAGCCCTGGGCCACGGGAGGGGGCCGAGCTCACGGGGCGTCGGCGCATTGGGTGGTCAGGGCCGGACCCTGTGGTTTGGGGCCGGCCCGGTGATTGCAGCATTGCATCCGCGCAGGAACCTGGAGGAGAAGCGGCTGCTGTGGCGGCTGCTGGACGTGCCCAGCGCGCCGGACCAGAGAGGTGGGTGGGGAGGAAGGGAGGGGTCGGGCTACCTGAGCGGGCAGGGGGGTCCCTGGGGCTGGTGGGGATCAGTGGGTGGCCAGAGCCGGCTGCCCCCTGAGCCCCGTCTGTCCCCCCTGCTGCCTCCCCAGGCTGCGGCTGCCTCTCGGCCAGCTGGCAGCCCCTGGACGGGCCCAGCCGGCCCAGCCCTGTGGCCGCCCAGTTCACCAGTGAAGGCAGCACCTTGTCAGGGGTGGAGCTGGAGCTGGTGGGCAGCGGGTACCGCATGTCGCTGGTGAAGAAAAGGTTCGCTACAGGTATTGCTGCCCACCCCCCGGCGCCCCCTCCCCCAGTGCCTCAGTTTCCCCTGGATCTGCTCAGACTGGGGCAGGGCTCATGCGGCACCTGGCCTGAGCTGGCCTATCCGTGGCCCCAGCTCGTGTGTCCAACCTGCCTCTCACTGCTTCCTCCCTAGGGATTTACCTGGCTGGCTCGTGAGCGGTGCCATCTCCAGCAGCCCCGCGAAGCTGCTGGCGCGTCCCTTGGTGTCTCCCCCGTGGGTGTCTCTGTTTGTTGTTGGGTTTTAAGCACTGGAAGTGGGCGGGAGGGGGCCGGGCCGGTTTCGGGGGCTCCGCGGGGTCACGTGTCCCCGCAGTCCAGGCACGGTGCCAGGCTGGCCGGACGCAGCCCTGCTCCCTCTAGCGCGGCCCAAGTCCCTGCTGGGGCCAAACAGGCACCCTGCTGCCCTGCCACTGGGGAAGGGGAGTCACAGGGCTGGGGCTAGGGCTGCTCTTTTAATAAACACTTTATTTTCTAATAAAATGACCCACCACATCCCCGGAGCCTCCTCTGTGCCATGGGCTTGGGGCTGCGGGCAGGAGCCAGCACCTCCCAGCGCCTGCCCCGGGGCCGAGGGGCATTGTCGTGTGCCCCGGGCCCTGGGAGAGCAGATCTGGGCAGGTGCCCGAGCCCAGAGAGGGCTGCATCTGGGCCAGCGAGCGGAGGGTGCTGGATCGGGGTCTGAATGAGGCAGGGAGGTGCTGGAGTTGTGGCGGAGCCGCCGTGCTCCCCAGCCCCATGAGAGGGCAATAGCGAGCGGCTGCCTTGCAGCCCCGCTGGAAGCGGAGTGGGTCCTGTCTACACAGGCAGGAGTAGGCAGTCGGGTCAGGGGAGAGGGAATGCAAAACTCTGGAGCAAACCCAGCCTCAGCTGTAAACTAGGGACTGGGCTTTCCTCTGCGGGGGCCTGGGTGGGGAGGTGGCTGGGGCCTGGGAGCTGCTTGCATGGGGGCAGTTGCTGAGCTTGGCTGTCAGCTTTTGGAGCAGGTGTCCCGGGCTGGCAGGGGAAAGGAGGTGCTAGGTCGCAGTGGAGCCGTCGGGCTGGGAGCTGGCAGCAGCCGCACTCCTGGGTTCTGGTCACGGGGTCCTCCCCTTCTGTGCCTCAGTTTCCTCCCCCTGCAGCCGGTGCTTCCTGCCCATCCTCCCCGCAAGGCGCGTGGAAGCAAGGGCTCTGCCATTAGGCTCCTCGCTCCGTGCTTCGGGCCAGTGCTTCTGGAAAGTGCGTGCACCCTTTCTTCTGCCACCCAAGGGTGGAAAAGCGCCCAAGTGACCACGTGCTCTAACCTCACCCTGGATCCCAGGCTGTTGGGCTGTCCGTGGCCCTGCAGCACTTCGTGTCTGTAAGGAGTTTCCAGCCACCCACCACACTGTGGCCCTGCCTCATCCACTTGTTAGCTGCAGCCTCGTTCGTTAGCCTGTGCTCGCGGGTCCCAAGGCAGGGGACCAGTGCACCCCAGTGGGTTTGGCTCCCCCAAAGCCTCGTGCAAGGGAGCAGGGGGGCTAGGGGGAGGGCTCAGGCCCCTGGGAGCACCTGTCAGTGGGTGGGGGGGATTTGCACATGCGTGTATAGGTGTGCGTGCAGGGGAGGCCACCGCTCTGAGCACGGACGTGCTCTCTGCCCTGCAAAATTGAAAGGGCTGGGGCAGAGGGGGGCTGTGCCCGAGCTGGGGGGGCTTCCTAGGACCTGGCTGCCTGGGCCCCTGATCCTGGCCCTGTCCATGGGGGGAATGCCGGGGTCCCTGCCCTTGTGCTGTTCCCACGCTGGGCTCGTGGAGGTCCCCCCACTGTGCAGGATGGACGCAGGGTGCAGGCACCAGCTTCCCTGGGGTCCTACCCCCAGCTCAGGGCTGGCTGAGCCTGGGAGCATTGCTCTCCGGGCACCTGGCTCCTGGCTGCTGTCGTTCCTGCTGCCCATGCCCTGATTTATGGCCCCGCATGGCGGCCCGGCCCGCCCCAGAGACTGGTCGAGTCGCATTTCTTCAGCCCTGAGACAAGAGGAAGGTGCGGCCGGGCCGAGACGGGCTGCTCTCCGGCCTCCCGCCCTCCTCTTCCCCCACCACCCCCAGCATGTGTCCCCTGCGGCTGGGAACAGCCCCGCTCTGCCCTCTCCCAGGCTCCCCAGCCCGCCTGGCTCTGGTTCCCACCGCCTGGGGCTCCACCTGCGCCCTCCAGAAGGCAGGGAGGTGCCACCGCTCTGCCCCCCTCATCGCGGGGAGCAAAGCAGGAGCTCCGGGGCACGGGCGATGGGCAGCAAAAGGGCCCAGGATCCAGGGCTCATGGGGCAGGCTGCAGGGTGCTGCTCCCCTGGTCAGAGGAGACTGGGAGCAATGAGCTGGCACGGGCCTGGGTAGGTGGGAGCCAGCCCCCTCCCCTGCATCTGGTGCCAGCTTTTGCAGCATAGCTGGGATCCACCGCCCCCTACACCACCCCCCCACCTCTGCAGAGCCAAAGCAGGGCAGGGAAGGGTTAAGGAGCTGGCTGCCTTACCCTGGTACCTGGCCAGGTGCGGGCACAGCTGGGGGCGGTTGTGCAGCCCTGGAGCACATCCTGGAGGGCAGGGGCCTGGAGGAGGGTGCTGCTACCCCCAGAGCTGGGTAAGTGCCTGGCTTGCAGCCCAGCCCTGGGTTCATCCCCTTCCTGCACCAGCCAGCTGTGGGGATAGGGCTGCAGAGGCATTTCCAGGGCTGGGGGCTCAGGTTTCTGGGCAAGGGCAGACCCCAGCCCTGGAGCTGGGCTCCAAGCCGCCTGCCCCAGCCTTGGAGGGGCAGGGCTGGCTGTCGGCCTGCCGCCTTCGTTGCAAGGGTAGGGAGATGGCCTGGCACTCCAGTAGCGGGTAATGCCAGCGCCCCGCTCTGAGCAAGCACTTGGGGTGATGGGTGAGTTTTTGCAGCCCTGGCAGCTCCCGCGAGCCAAGCAGGAAGGCTCGGGGCCACCGCAGGAGCAGTGGACCTCTTGAGAAATCCCCTTGGCCGTACCAAGCAGGAGGAGCCCAGCTCCTTCCTCCTCCTGGCCTCCAGGCGAGGTGCTGCCAGGAGCCCCAGCTTCACAGGGCCTTTTGGACGTGCCTGGAGCCCCTTCCCCACCGAACCCTGCTTCCACCTGCTTCGGTGCCTGACGGGCTGTCGGTGGGGTGGGTGCCGCTTGGGCACAGCTGCCAGGGCTCTGACGTGTCCAACAAGGGGCTTTTGTTTGGAGCAAATGCCAGCCGCTCTGCATTGTCCCATGCAGTCAGACGTTGGCTAACCCGGCTGGGTGTATCCTCTTGCCCAGGGGCTGGGGCATCCTCATGAGCTGTAGTGACTGGGGCACGGTGTTTGGGGGAGCTGCCGATCCTGAGAAGAGACACGGGGTCCAGCTAGGCAGGTGCAGGGGCCGACCTCGCCCGTGTGCCCGGCATGTGACCATACCCATGTCTGCACCGTGGCAGCTCAGGCCCAGCTGGAGCATGGGCAAGCATTGGCCCTGGCTTTCCTGGGCCCCTGCCCAGCTCCGGGGGCTGACCAAGCAATGCCTCTGGGGTGGCTGGAGCCCCTGGCAGGGGCCGTTGTTGGCCACGTGTCTGGCGGGGCTGGGGAGAAGCGAGGTGCGTCCCAGGGCTGCGGTTCCAGTGGAGACCTCGGCCCCCTTGGACACGGGGCAGCCGGGGCCGGTTGGCACCTTGCTAGGTGTTCCTCCACCTCTGCCGGTGCCTGTCACCGTCTGGCTCGATCCAAGCCGCCCAGCTCCTGCCTTCAGCAAACACCCCAGGGACGTGGCAGAGCTGGGAGCAGCTCGTTGCAGCAGTGTTCTCTCCAGCAAAACAAGCCTGTCTCCCCGGGCCCCGCGGCATGGCATCCAGCGCCCCACGGCCCTGAGGGGTGTGCCCAGGGAGGCATTCTGCCTGCAGGAGTGGGCACCTTTTGCACAGGCAGCTCCTTGCCAGCAGGAATTGGCAGGGCCTGGAAGTCTCCACCTGTGTCACCGCATGATCCAGCTCCTGGGGCCCAGGTAAAGCCAGCCCCCGGTTCCCCCCCTGCCCTGCCCTGCCCAGCTCCGGTTATCAGAGGATGATGTGGAGAAGACTGGTGAGTGTTTTGGTTCCCAGAGAGGCCACAGGTCCTGGGGAGGGGGGTGCATAAAGCAGGATGGGCCCCCCCCATCCTGCTGGGAGGAGCTTGGGGGCGCGAGAGAGGGCCCTTTGCAGGGGTGGGTTTGCTGTCCTAGGCAGGTGCGGCTGGGGCTGGCTCTGCGGGAGGTCTGTGCTGGTGTCTCGGGCTCTCTGCTGAGCTTGGTCACCGTGTTAAACTCCTCTGTAGCCCCCTGGGCTAGACCCTGCCGCAAGCAGCCAGGATGGCCTGTGGGTGGGCATCCCCGCCGCAGGGTGCAGGGTTGGGCTGGGCCCTGGGGGTGTCGTGGGAAACCTCAGGCATTGTTTTGAGTTTTTTGGGAAAATTTTCATGTTCCAGGTCAAATCAGCCAAATCGGTTCCGAATCCTTTCGATTGAGCAATGCTCAGTCGTTCCAGGACTGTACGTGGTGTTACCACCAGCACATTTCCTCCACTCCCAAGTCTGTAGGCGGGTATCCTACATGCACGGAGGCTTGTGGTTTGGATGCCCTGTGAGTCTCACTTGCCCTTAACCAAAAGTCACAGGAGCAAGCTAGGGAGGAGTCCCTAATTGCCATAAAGTTGGTGCATAGCCGAGATCCTCCCACTGGAAGCTGACCAGCGGGAAGCTAATTATATGACTGGCAGGGATACACCCTCCGCTACACAATGACATTCAAGTCTACTCTTGACCCTTGATTGTGGTGTGATGCCAGGTAGCAGAAACCATAGGTACTGGAGAACTAGGAAAGACGGTGTGGATGCGATGCTGCACCCGTGACCTCTGCCCTGGCTTTGCAGAGCTGGTTGCAGTGAGCTGGGGCTTGTTCAGAGCCCACCTGGCCCATGAGAGATGCGGGCTTGGAGATGGACTGCAGGTCCCAGGCCACCTCTCCCCGCAGCCGTGCAAGGCTGTCGCAGGCCCAGAGCTCACTGGAGGAGCCGGGCCGGGTGGCAGTCGAGGCACCACGTGTGGTTGCAGTGCCTGGGTCAGGGAGAGTGGCCACCGGCCTCATTATTAGCACGGTTGAGGCTCATGAGAGCGGCAGCACCGGGTGGCCAGGGTCTTGCACCAGGATCTCGGCCAGTTCTGCCAGTGTAAATGCATCGCCGTTCAGGCCTTTCCCTTGCCGCTGGGGTCGGCTTGCGGGGCTCTGGGGGTGGCTACAGCATATTCCTGGTCTGCCGGAGGTTGGTACCTGCCTGTGCAAGTGGGAGCAGCCCCAGGGCTGCTGTAACCTTGGCTCACTCACATGTGGGGTTGTTCTGGCATTTTGCACTGATGCCCTCCCTGGGGGAAAGGAGGGTATTAGGGCTAGAAGCTGCCTGCTTCTTGCAGCTGGCAGGGCTGGTGTAGGGGAGGGTTGCAGTCCCCAAAGGCTGCTGGAGCAAATCCAGAGGGGTTGGATTCGAACCCACAACAAATCAGAGATGGGCGGGGAGGGGCTGGGCTGAGTCAAGGTGGAGCTGCAAATGATGCAGCTCTCAGCGGCAGGAAGGAGCTGCAAAGGTGAGGTGAAGAGGTAGGTCCCTGCAACAGGAATAGCCGAAACTGGGTTATTGGTTGCAACAGGTGCCGGCACCTGCTCACGGATGCCGGGCACAAGCAGATCCAGGGGGGTGGTTCTCCCCAGGGAGCGACACTGCCAGGGGCTGCAGCGAGTGCCCCCCAGCCCCGGGGTCTTGGTTTTTGTACGGCGAGGGTGGAAGTCGGCTACAGGCACAGCTACAGCCTGGGTTGGGGCTGGGGGGGACCCTCTTTGGGAGTGTCCTGGGGGGCTTTAAGAGGCTGGATGGGGGGTCACAGGCATTAAG